TTTGTCTGTGTGCCTGTTGAAAAATGTTTTCACTTGAAATTACTGACAGATCCATATGAAAATATTGCTTTATTCATTTAATCATTAAACTATGTACACTGTGTTAGGTCTTGGTTCAATAGGCTATGTGCAATCATTTCAATATGTTTTAATAAACATTGAACCAGTCCGGCCCTTGGCTTGTAGCAAATTTGTTTTTTTGGCCCTCTGTGTATTTGACTTTGACATCCCTGATCTAAAGAGTTCACTATTCATCTCTTGCTTTTATTGCTGTCTCTTATTTATTTATTCTGGAGCTTGAACCATCTGCCTCCTCAAGATGTGACTTGGGTGATCTATTTTAAATGGATCAGCCAACAAACACTGAAATATTTCATTGATTGATTTTTAGCATTCTTTTTTGTTTTGGGAACAGTTTTAGGGTTCATTAAGTCTTACCTTTATTTTTACTGTATAATAATACAAAATTGATGTGACCCAACATAAACAATGACTACTAATTATTGGAAAAAATGTTTTGGCAAGGCATTGCTACAAACTGGAATTAAGTTTACAATAAGTTAGGGGTCTTTTTGATGTTTCCTGCTGCAGCACACCTGAATCAGATTAATGGGTTGACATGCTTTGGCAGAACAACCTATTGAGGATATTCATTTAATTTAAATCAGGTGTGTTGGAGCAGGGAAACGTCCAAAACCTACAGGGCTGTGGCCTCAAGGACTGGAGCTGGACAACCCGACATTAAGTAATTCAGACTTTTATTTCATACTTTACGAAGCAGAATGTTCAATCCAATTATCCTTAAATTTACATGAAAGTTGTTTGATTCAAAATTATTTGCATAATTACTTATTTTTGGATAACAACTGATATAAGAAGTTAATGGATTTGATTTAATTTGGTCCGCAGTCTATTTTCTGTCTCAGATGAACATCCCCATCCACATGAGCATTTGAGTACAGCTTCTTTTTTGAAATGTGGATGGTCACATGTGGCATATCGTACAGTCACAAAGGCAAGTTTAGTTGGTAGTGTTTGTATATTGTGGTACTTGAGAATGATGTAGTGAATGGTACTTTTTTTCATTAATGCAACACTGTTACCTTCCAACATAAGCTAGAGTCTTTTTCAGTGGGTCATTTCACATGCTATGTGAGATTACGTTTGTTTTTACATTGACTCTACCTTTTGGGTATACTGATTGTGTCCTCCTAACGTCTAGTCTCACATCACAGTCCAAACATTTTGCATTAATGATGTTATTCTTTTATTCATTCTATTCAACAAAGGACATCAAATGTTAAACATAAGTATTTTTCATGGGAGTTTATTAAGTTCTCCAGAGCCAAAAGCTTTAATAAAATGTTTCATGAGTTTGACTATTTTTCACAACAGTATAAACTTGTATTAAAGAAACATCTTTAAATGAAAACATGGAGGCTTGAACATAGAATCACATTTATAGACACAATTTCTGAACAGACCAAAAACACTTAAGATTTAGTGTAACGCTGTGCTTGGCACAGTCTTATTTGACTGGAATTAGATTATATTCATATTCTATTGGTCACATCATGTAAACTGTTAAACACTTCTCAGTATCAAACAATATGGATAAAACTATGAATCCTCCCTCCAAGAAAATGCACAAGGCTACAAAATAAATATATACCATGACTTCCATCATTTTCAAATGGATCATCCCAAGACATTTAAAAAAACATATCTTAAATCATTTTCATTGCTTCTTACTTTCGAAGTGAGAAACAGTAGAACAGAGATCGCAATGAATTTGAATAGCATCATTGTATTATCTTCTTCTGTATATTATTACAATATCTGGACATGCTAAGCAAGTCTTATTGAAGAATTTCCTGGTTTGAGAGTTACTTCCTGTGCCAGTGAAAGTGATAGACACTAAGCAAACAACAAAAAGAGAACAAATACACAATTTATATGTGTGAGAGGAAAATGTATGTGTGTGAAAGGAGAATGTATGTGTATGAGAGTTAAAATACGTGTGAGAAGACTGTATGTGTGATGAAAATGTATGTGTATGTGAAGAAAATGTGTATGTGTAAGAGTTGAAATGTATGTGAATGAGAGAAGAATATATGTGTGTGAGAATGAAAATATATGTATGCAAATGTGAGAATGAATGATGGCCTGTATGGCCCCTCAAATATCAGACAGACTCCAGTTTGTTCATGGTAATGATGATTCTTCCACCCACACCAGATTTAGTTATGGAGTTCCACAGGGTTCTGTGTTAGGACTAGAGATGCGCCGATCCGATACTGGGTATCGGTATCGGGCCGATACTGGACCAAATTACGGTATCAGATGATGTACTTCACAGTGGTAACTGGCCGATCCGATACCGCCACACATACACAATCCTTCCTTCCGACACATCCACATGTTCGTCTGCTCATTGGCTACCAGTGTACAGCGTCAGAGAGTGTCTGTAACCCGACTGGTCGACTCTACAAGGGTGGGACTTGTCCGTTCCGGGTTGACTGTCTGAGACACTCCATTGGCCCTTCAGGCTGTCACTCACCCCCAAAGCCCTCCTATTGGCCAAACTAGGTGTCAATCAAAAGCTGAGACGTCCGTCTAGCTGCCTGTAGCGCTTTCAGCGAGATCTAAAATAGATTCAGCCTGATTTTGCCAGAAGAAATTAATAAAACAGCGGGCGCTGATCTCAAGCTGGGAAGACATTACTTCAGAATTCGTGCCTTTGAGGATCTAATACGTTTTACGGACCGAATTATTTTACGGGATTATATTCACTGGTTGTGTCTGGACAGAATGAGGCCAAGCTGGTGAGGAATGAGCGATGTTTGAGCTGCAGAGAGCCTTCAAAAGTAAGAAAAAACTCGGATTTTAACATGTTGCTTTTCTGTTTAAAAAAAAAAAAAAAGCTCTTTGTGTCAACGCTGTGGTTGCTGCAGGTCAAAAAGGTTTATATCATCGGAAAGAGGAGACTCTGAGCTTTCATTTGATGTGTATGTTGTCGGGAAACGTGATCGTGGAGCATGCGCACATATGGCTGTAATGTGTTTGGAAAGTGGTCGCGTCCCGCCGGCGGAACGTGGGAGCGGTAAGGGGTTTAAAATACTCTTCTTAAATATGTTTTTTTTTTTTTAAATTGGAAGTATATTTTGAGTGAAATCACCCTTTAAAACTACGTTGCGCACCCGAACTAGAAGCCATGCACTTATACGGCCGTAGAAGACGAGTCCAGCCTCTCCGTGCAGACCTCTACCAGCAGCCCTTTACGTGGGTCTCCGGCTCTGCATACAGACTCTTCCTATTGGATCCGATCCAGCAGCAGTTCACAACGTTTCCGGCCTCATTTACTACTGCTCATGCGCAGAGCCGAGAGCGGCTATTAGTGGTACTATTATTTAGTACCAAGTTTTGGTAATTTAACCTTTAAATTGCAGCTTAATGTTGCTGTGTCATTTTGATCTGTTGTAAATATTTGAATGGCACTGAGTGCACACTGTAGTGTGATTGTAGCTCAAATAAAGCAGCTACAATTTGACTTTAAGACATGCTTTTGGCTATTTTTTCCTTTCTTAGAAAAGCAAAGTCTATGCTTTAATAGTATGAGGCTTTTGATAAAGCCATCTTAAACAAATGTATCCATGCAAATAAGGTATTTCCAAACAAGTTTAGGCGGAGAGATGGTATCGGCAGATACTCAAAGTTGAAGTATCGGAGATAGATAGATGGATAGATGGATAGATAGATAGATCACTGACCATCACAACAATGTACAGTATTTTATGAATGTCTCAAAACCAAAAAAATTGACTGACATACAAAAACGTAGTGGTAGTAGCCTGGCTATGTCTGGAAGTGCTTCCCTCACGGCTGACATATGACCAGGTTATATTTCCTGGGGCCTTACAGAGGTAGTTACTGTTGGCTCTGCTGTGGTTCAGCACCACCCACAGTGCTCTCAGTCTCATCAGCAGAGTAACTCTCAAGGGGTTGGATGCACTACTCAATATAATGGGAGTAAATAAATTTTTTGTGGCATACAAAACTATTTTGATGCCCACAACATATGCTATGGTGCACTTATAAACTTGTGCATGCTCTCAGTGATTCCTTAGTGTGCAGTCAGTCCTTCTGTACTGCTTCTTTCAACACAGTCTGGGAATGTGTCACACAATTTTTCAGTGCTAAAGAACGGCCACAAAAGACTGATTCTGTTTTCTCAAAATCATCTCGGGTGCCACAAAACACCTAATTCCACTGCTCAAAATAGTTCACAATTCTTGCTCTTCATTTATGATTCTTCATTTTATGTCTACACCTGGTGACTCAACTAGCGCAGCTTTAGTCCCCACTGCCTCAGACACCTTGATCAAAGTAGACATGGTAGGACCTGCATTCGCAGGTTTTAGATTTCATTGATAATAGTTACACTATGTGCCAAGTTAGAATGTGATAGCTTTCCAACATTTGCAATCTCCTGACTAAGAAGTTATTTATAAGTCCCAAGAGTTTATTACAATTGTTGCTTCTCTAAGTACGCACAAATCTGCCCTGGACGTCTTCTGACATCACTGGTGATATAATTAAATTGGTTGTCCCCTTTGATCAAGTTACAGCAGCCTTGGTTGCAACACATTGACAGTATTGTCAGTAACAATATTGAGAGTGAAAAGCATCCCAGCAGGCAGTGTTTGGCCTACACCCCTCCAGATGTTAGAACATGGTTCTGTCATCACTGATTCAACCCCATGCTGAATACTTCTCTGTTCAGGCCACAGCAAACACAGTGGCAATACAAAAAACTGAAGGTAGTACACAACAGACATTATTTTAAATCACTTTTTTCCCTTAAATAACTATTAACCTTCAGACCTAAACATTGAAACCAATCTCCTAACCCAGCTGCTTACCTCCTATCTAATGCCCAGTAGTAGTGATGTAACCCTGAATTTAATTCATTAGTGGAATAATGTGGAGATTGTGCTTACCTAGCCGATTCTGAGCCAGGCTTAGTGTGTGGAGAGAAGCCACCGTCTTTAGAGCAGCCACCAGCTGCTGCAGTCTCTGTTCTTTGTCAGTACACTTCTCGAGAAGGCGGCAGTCATTTAAATGCAGCTCTGACAGACAGAGAAAGACAGTCAGACAATTCCACTCTGGACTCAGTGCAAACTACAAAACATGGAATATATTCTGTTTCACACTTTCCCACCTAAAACAAAGGAAGGAGACTAAATGATCCTTTAGTTGCATTAAGCAATTTTTGTTGTATCTGCTTCTTTTAAGAACTTGGATCCATGTAATGACACCCACATTTATACTAAGTACTACTGTGAACAACACATATACTTTTTTTCTAGATATTTCCAGAAGATCTGTAATAAATCTTTTGGTTTACCACTGTATATGGTGCCACTGCAAAACTATATTTAATTAAAGCTGCAAGCAGCATTTGTCGGATCCTCGATCCGCGTTGCAACCTCATGCCCGTCTGACCTCCATTTTGACAATTTATTCCCTCTCACTACACTTTGACCTACTAATAGGCAATTTTCATTGTCTATGTTCTCAGCCTCAGACTGTCAGTGAGTCACATGACCAGCTGAACTTAGCTGTGATGATGTCATGATGACTCAGCGTTTGTCATGCCCCTGGCTGAGAGAGCTGAGAGTTGTACTCACTTTCTCTCTCCCATACAGCCACAATTTTCACCAAATATGTGTAAAAACAGCATATTTTTGTGGGAAATCTTGTTAGGAAGCCCTCAGTGTCATTTTTAAAGCTGTAGGCCCTTTAGTTTTTTGTGTAGATGACCAAATGTCACAGCATGTCTACACATGTCCCATAGACAGCCATACAAAGTTTGAGCCGAGGCTGCGACAGCTCATCAACGTTAACAGCTCGCCATTCGAAAACTGTTGGAGAAACGCCAAATCCCTTTTGCACATCAAGGCCTTCTATGTCTCCTGCACAATTTTCAAGTTGACACGATTTACGGTGTCAGACAAGATAAGTTTTTCCCCAACAGATGCTTTCACTTCCTGTTTGAGATAGGTCAGGGGTGTCAGTGTGAGATTTGTGGGTCTCATTGAGACGAACGTTTTGGTGTTGGTTTGATCTCTGTACGACATTCCTACTGGCTGCTAGGGCCGTTATAGTGTGTGTTTTTGTCACTAGGGGGCGCTAGAGAGCTTTTCTTGTTTTTGTTTTTTTCATTTTATCAAATTTTTCGCTGATTTGGAGGTGCGTGCCAATTTTGGCGAGTTTTTGAGCATGTTTAGGGGGTCAAATTAAGGGTTTTGCGTGCCTGCTTTACAAACAATAGGCAAGGACTCCTGCTTTCTTTCTTTCTTTCTTTATTCTTATTCGCCTGACGAACGCGTTACCCTTAATTTGACCCCCTAAACACGCTCAAAAACTCACCAAAATTGGCACACACGTCCGAATCTGCGAAAAATTTGAGAAAATGAAAAAAAAAACAAGAAAATGCTCTCTAGCGCCACCTAGTTACAGAAAAACACACTAAAACGGCCCTAGCGCCCAGTAGGAATGTCATACAGAGATCAAACCAACACCAAAACGTTCGTCTCAATGAGACCCACAAATCTCGTGCTGACAACCCTGACCTATCTCAAACAAGAAGTCCACAATTTGCCTTTCAAAGTAAAAAAATGAGCGAAAACTTCTTTTGGGAAAAAATTATCTTGTCTGACACCGTAAATCGCACCAACTTGAAAATCGCACAGGAGACAGAGAAGGCCTTGATGTACAAAAGTTCTGAAGGGATTTGGCGCTTCTCAACCGGTTTTCGAATGGCGAGCCGTTAAAGTTGATGAGCTGCCACAGTCTCGGCTCACACTTTGTATGGCTGTCGATGGGGGCATGTGTCGACATGCTGTGTCAGGTGGTCATCTACACAAAAAACTAAAGGTCCTACAGCTTTAAAAATGACACTGAGGGCTTCCTAACAAGATTTCCCACAAAGATATCCTGTTTTTACACATATTTGGTGAAAATTGTGGCTGTATGGGACAGTTAAAGTGAGTAAAAATGTCACTCTCTCACTCAGGGCCATGCTGAACGATGATATCACACCTCAGTGCAGCTGGTCATGTGACTCACTGACAGTCTGAGGCTTAGAAGACAGAGAAAAATGGAGGTCAGACGGGCATGAGGGTCCAACGCAGACCAAGGACCCGACCAACGCTGCTTGCAGCTTTAATTTTATTAATATTGACTGTATCTTATTCTTTTCTTTCTTTAGTTATTTTACTTTATTTTATTTTTTAATTTTCCTATTTCTATTATCCGTGCAAATTCCTAGGGCGACACCAACAGCCGAAACCAAATTGCTTGTATGTTGTGTACGTACTTGGCCATGAAAGCTGATTCTGATTCTAATTCTGATTAAGCCCCTGTGAGAAAGATTTTAACTCTTTAACCAAAACTGTGCAGACTGTGTGTTATGTGGGGAAACCTTGGGTCCTGGCATTCCTGTGGATGTTACTTGATGTGTACACGACTTTTGCAGAGTGAGCAGAGACACAGCAGCGGCCTTTGAAGGCAGCATGGAGCAGCCTGCCTTACTGGATCATACAGAGCCCAAACACCCACATCTCAATCAATACGATCGGGAGTCCACAGGAAAAAGCCTCATTCAAGGACAGGGACAGGTATGAACCGAGCCCTGGGGTGACATGTTTAAATATTGGAGGATCAATAAGCTCCGACGTTACCGTGTGCATTTCAGTAGAAGTTCATCACATACAGACTGAGAAGTTGATCCCTCACTAACCAGGCATGTTATGTTTACTAGCAGCCTGCACAAAGTTCATTCAGTTACAAGAACACATGCTACCGATTAAAGTATGTATTCTCCAGCTGTTGAACTGCAGCAGAGTTCATAAACTCAGTCTGAAATTCAGAGCATCATCTGAACTGTTGCTCATAATTTCTGTTTCAGAGCAACAGGATTTAGTGACAAACTCTGTCTTACTTTATATTCACTGTTTCTCTGACTGAATGTTGGTGCTAAAAGAAGTACTTGAACTGTTTTCTTCACTGAACTAAGAAAATCACTGAAAGTCCTGCATTCATTTTATACTCAAAAGTGAAGCATGAAAGATGTTTTGTCAACACAATGAGCTGACATTAATTCTGATATAACGCCGGGCAGTTAAATAAAACACACTGCAGAACACTTGACACTGTCAGTAAAACCTGTGACGCTGTCCACAGAGCTCTGATCCTCCCATCAACAGAACATTAGTGTTTACAGTTACGTAAGGATGCTATTCATAGAAAGTAGCAGAAAATAAAGCCGTCTTATTCTGTTCCAAATGTTTTGAGGTTTTTCTCTTTTAAAACAAAACAAACAAAAACAATGAAAAAGTACCGATAAGAATACCATTGAAGTACCGGATCAATAAGCAGCATCAGAAGTAGTAGTGAAGTTCTAATCCTAGCGATACCCATCCCTATTCGTGGCGGCCTCAGCCTCCCCACTACCTGGCCCACAGGACCCAAAGGATCCACTGGAAACAGAAACCACAGGACACCCCAGAGGCCTACTGTCCATGGCTTGACAGGTCTCAGCTGTTTTGGAAGCACGAGGGGGACCGACACATCTGGCAGATGGTGTGAATGTGATGGCTGACTGGGGCCTATCGAGGAACAAAGACGGTAATCTCACAACAGCAAAAACAGCTGCTTTGTTCATTTTATTGTAGCACCACGAAAAAAAGTCTCTCTAGGAGTTTAACACAGTGAGTGTGTCGTTGAACAGTCTTACAGATCATTTGTCAAGACGTGGATAGTGGCTGATCACACTTCACACAGCTTTTTTTCACAGTAGTCCACATGCTTTTAATCCACAGGGGTCCAAAATCACAGACATGGGCAGACTACAAAAGCTACATAACAAACCTTACGACCATGTTGGTTGCTTCTGCTTTACTACTCCTTTCAGCAATATCTAAAACTGTGATCTGTTGAAAGTCAGGAGTGGAAGCAAGTCATTATGGTTTAACTGGGCACAGTGCAGCTTAAACAAGCTAACCCACACTCTTGCAGACAACACCGAGCTAGAACCACCTCTAGACTTTAGTCATTTTCACCAGTATTGTGTAATTTTTAGGGAGGAAAGCAACCTGCTTTGCCCGTATACATTAGCATCTATAAACAAATTTCCATTTAGGAGAAGACTAACATCAGGTTCTTCGTTTTCCTTTTCTTACCTTCTAACTTGCAGTGTTCCAGTAGATGTAGAACATCAGGGAGACAGTCACACAGCTTCATGTCCTCCAAGTTGAGCATCTTCAAACAGGGATTTGACACTAAAAGGTAACCGCAAATCATTACTGACAGCACTTCAGAGTACATTTGGTTTAGAAATAGACTAATGTATCGGTCAGGCCAAAGGTATTGGTGTTTAGGTCAGCTGCAGTGTAACAAGAACCTGCAATACAGTAACACTATATGAGGTATGGACATTCAGAAACACTACAACTATGACACAGTTTGTAAACCAGAAAGAACTTATGGGCTAACCCTACACTCTGTGGCTAGCTGAGCCAAAGTAAAGTACAGTGTGTGTTCATGGCACTGAAAGAACATGCAAGTCAGTGCACTGTTCATAATTTTGGGAGCAACGCCAGTACCCTATGGCACAGAAAAATAAGATATGCTGGTCTTTCTATACACATTACTTGTAGGACCAGTTTGCTAGGGTCCGAGGACCCCTACTTGCAAAGCAAGCAGGGGTCCTTGCCCTATGGTTCCCGCTTCGTTTCTTTCTTCTTATTATTTTCCTGATGAACACGAAAACCTTAATTTGACCCCCTAAACACGCTCAAAAACTCACCAAAATTGGCACGCACCTCCAAATCTGCGAAAAATTTGATAAAATGAAAAAAAAAAAAACAGACAAGAAAATCTCTCTAGCGCCACCTAGTTACAGAAAAACACACCAAAACAGCCCTAGCGGCCAGTAGAAATGTCGTACAGAGATCAAACCAACACCAAAACATTCGTCTCAATGAGACGCACAAATCTCGCGCTGAAACCCCTTACCTATCTCAAACAGGACGTCCGCAGTTTTCCTTTCAAAGTAAAAAAATGAGTGAAAACATCTTTTGGGAAAAAATTATCTTGTCTGACACCATAAATCGTATCAACTTGAAAATCATACAGGGGACAGACAAGGCTTTGATGTACAAAAGTTCTGAAGGGATTTGGCGTTTCTCCAACAGTTTTCGAATGGCGAGCCGTTAAAGTTGATGAGCTGTCGCAGCCACGGCTCAAACTTTGTATGGCTGTCTATAGGACGTGTGCAGACATGCTGTTTGGTCATCTACACAAAAAATTAAAGGTCGTACAGCTTCAACAATAACATTGAGGGCTTCCTAACAAGACTTCTCACAAAAATATTCTGTTTTTACACATATTTGGTGAAAATTGTGGCTGTATGGGAGAGAGAAAGTGAGTAAAACTCTCAGCTCTCTCAGCCAGGGGCATGACAAACGCTGAGTCATCATGACATCATCACAGCTCAGTTCAGCTGCTCACGTGATTCACTGACAGTCTGAGGCTGAGAAGAAAGAGAAAAATGGCTCCTTCAACTTAAAGCAGGTTTAACTTGAAGCATGGTCAGATGGGCATGAGGTTGCAACGCAGACCGAGGACCCGACAAACGCTGCTTGCAGCTTTAATTATTATTGGTCTGGGTTTTTCCATTTCCATCAACTTGCACCCACTAGCAATTCCCCAGGAACGTGAGGGTCCTCCAGCCAAAAATCTGATACCCTGGACCTTTGTGTGCACCATGCAGAGGGTCTGGACACTCACACTGTGATTTCTCACTCCTTTTCGAATATGTAGACCAAGTCCAGAATTGTGGAATATTTCTTTTGTTACATGATTTAATTTAATATGTGTGTGTATGGATTTGTATGTATATAAGTGTATATTTATATATAGGAAATATTAATTCTTTGTTTACTTGGTACTTGTTTTTACATATTCGAAATAAATATTTCAATCAATCAATCAATCAAATCTCTTACACTGACATGATACACTACCGGAGAGGGTGGTGAGGAGCTTGCTTTGAGTGGAGCCGCTGGGTAACCGTATCCCAGCCACATGAAGTGAGGTGAGATGTGGAGAGCATCTCAGCACAGATGTCAAGAAGCGCAGATCTGTCTGGACCTCAGCTACGACTTTCAGCTTCTCAAGGAGCAATACTGTTGAAAGAACGTTGAAAAACAATCGCGTAGGCTTAGTCTAAATAATAATTTAGTATTCATTCATGCAATTGCATTTTAGGTCATTTTTCAAGCAAAACTTTTCTGTGGTTCCAGCTTCTCCAGTGTTCTGCTTTTCAAAAAGGATATGTGTGAACATTTTACAAATCTTATAATTACACGATACAACATCACCAAAGTAGCTAAGTCAGTCTTGAATAAGAGTCTAACTAGTGACATTCACGTCACCCTACAGCATAGATACACCACACCTCTAATCCTGCTCATTCAAGTGTTACTTGACAGCACCTGGCTTGTCTGAGTCAGCAGTCCTGTGATGAAGTGGTAAGAAACGTGGTTCTAACGTCACAGAATGGATCTCCACATGCAGAGATGTCACAGTGGGGCTTGCATCCAACAGGATCTCCAGGAGATTGGTGTTTGGTAGAATGCTGATGCAAAGATCAGTGAGGGAGCTGCAGGAGCTGTCCGACAGCTGCTTCAGGGCTCTGGCCAGGCCCAACACATCTGAGTACCTGAAGGTCACTGTAGGAAAAAAAAAAAGCCATTCCAGAAGAACATACAGCAGGCCCACAGTCATTATTTATGTTGATTTACTCAGTGTTGACTTTACAAAAGAGAGATTTCATCACAGCAATTTGAGAATGGCTGTTGGATAACATGTAGTGGTTGTCATGTAAGGGCCACAATTTAAGAAGAGTTTTCTGCTAAAAACTAAAAGAAGTCTTGTGAATTTGGGTTCATTAAAATACATCCCTGGCCCGCCCCAACAATAAACTTTATTTATAAGTAATCCTAATTATAAAAGTAGAGCAGAGGGGTATACTACGAAGCAAGTTTGACATGGCCAGGCTTTCTTTGTGTAAGCCGAATCGACAAAACCAAAAGCCCCCAGCCACAGATTACACAGTTATAAACTTTGCGAACTCAGGCCTTCTGCTTCAGACTCCGTGCGCGTTCACATAAAAAGGGGCTTTAATGCGTCAAGTGACATACACACAATGAACCGATCGTGTGCAGCTGCTTCAGTCAGCACGTTGTTTTAATGGAGAACAATGAAGAAAGAAAGGACAGACAGACAGACAGACAGACAGACAGACAGACAGACAGACAGACAGACTATGACGGCAAAAAGCACCGCTACTGCAAGTAGTGCAAAACAGGAATGCTGGTAGAAAACTGTTAAAAGTGTTCATATATATATATATATATATATATATATACACACATATACACACACATATATACATATACATATATATATATATATATATATACACACACATATATACATATATATATACATATATATATTATATAATAATATAAGCAGCCGCTTATTTCCAACTGACAGCTGCACGTTAAAGTTACCTTTAAAATTCATACATTCAAACACGACCACCATCCTAAGTGAAGCCCCTGATTCAGACGCTGAAGGTGCTGAAGCTGACACCAATAAAAATGAGGAGGCGTACGCGGTTCTTATTCAGCTATTGGATGATAAAAGTTTGTCCCTTGTAATGAGAGACACCGCCGATGATGGCAGGAAGGCGCTGCACATCCTGCGCGACCATTACGCAGGGAAGGGGAAGCCGCGCGTAATCAGTCTGTACACTGAGTTGACTTCTCTCCAAAAAGGTATGAATGAGAGCGTCACGGACTATATTATTCGTGCAGATTGCCATCACAGCGCTGCGTAACGCAGGAGAGACACTGAGTGATGGTTTACTGACTGCAATGATTTTAAAGGGCCTGCGCGATGTATTTAAACCACTCTCTGTACACGTTACGCAGAGTGATGAAAAGTTTACTTTTGCTGACTTTGAAACTAAACTGAGGAGCTCTGAAAGCACAGAAAAGTTTGCCTCTAGCTCAGGAGAGGACAGCGTGATGAAAGTGACAGGAAGAGACAATTGGAGTGCAAAACTCACCTGTTTCACCTGCGGTCAGAAAGGCCACAAAGCGGCTACAGCGCAGGGAGCAACTGTCATCTTCAAAGAAGGACAGAATCGACTCATCCATCAAAATGGTATGACTTTTGATATTAACACACAGGATAGACTATTTTATTCAAGTACTCTTCAAAGTGAGACTGATGAATGTAATGTGTGTTATGACGTCCAAACGTGGCATGAAATTTTAGGTCACTGTAATTATGGCGATGTGTTAAAGTTAGAAAATGTCACAGAAGGTATGAAAACTAAAGGAAAAAGTGACAGGTCTAATTTAAAATGTGAAGTGTGTATCAAAGGAAAATTTCCACAGAGCAGAAATACTGATCCAGCCAAGGAAAAAGCCAAGGACGGTGACGGTAAAATAACACTTCATTATTGCCCTACAGATGGAATGCTGGCAAATGCTTTTACTGAATCTGTTTCAAAAATGAGAATGGAGACACTTGTATATTTTCTATTTGGTGCATAAATGTTTTTGTAATGGAGAAAAAGAAACGTGTGTGGTGAGTTTGATGCACTGAGTTGTATGTAACTGTTGTCATTAATGTTCTTAATTGACCCAGTGACCTACTTTTGGGGTGTGGGCGGGGCTACACACCGGTGCACAATTCACAATAAATGGCTGCTGCTCATTCAGAAAAGTGTGTTGCACGCAGGCCAAACGCAATGACTGTTTGTTGAGTTTAGGGCTGGTCCGAATAGCAATTTCTGATCTCCGGACATTCGGTCCCAATTAATGATGAATATATTTGGGGGTGCTGTGCGGTGGTCGCGGGTGAGTATTTTTGTCGACGGAGGGGGGGGGCACTGATGACGTCACTGTCTCCAAGACAATCCCTACTCGCCCCAACCAGAAGCCATGGATGACTGCAGAGGTGCGTTTGCTGCTGAAAAACAGAGAGTCTGCTTTCAGGGCTGGTGACAGCAAGGCTCTAAAAACAGCAAGAGCCAAACTGTTCCAAGCCACCAGAGAAGCCAAGCGTGCACACGGCCAGAAAATCCACAGCCACTTCAGGGACAGCGGCGACACTCGGCACATGTGGCAGGGCATCCAGGCCGTCACCAACTACAGGACAACATCCCCCGCCTGTGACGACGACGCCTCCCTGCTGGATGCGCTGAACGACTTCTACGCTCGCTTTGAAGCTCGGAACAATGAGACCACCCCTCCCCCCAACGACCAGGCACTGTGTCTCACCACAGCCGACGTGAGGAAGACGCTTTGCAGAGTCAACCCATGAAAAGCTGCTGGACCAGACAACATTCCTGGCAAAGTGCTCAGGGAGTGCGCAGACCAGCTGGTGGATGTTATCACAGATATCTTCAAAACCTCCCTAAGTACCTCCATTGTTCCAATGTGCTTCAAAGCCACCACCATCACCCCCGTGCCAAAGAAGTCGTCAGTGTCCTGCCTCAATGACTATCACCCTGTTGCACTCACACCTATCACAATAAAATGCTTTGAGATGCTCGTCTTGAGGCACATTAAGACCCTGCTGCTCCACTCACTAGACCCCTTGCAGTTTGCATATCGTCCCAACCGCTCCACAGACGACGCCATGTCCATCGCCCTCCACCTGGCCCTCACCCACCTGGACAACAGAGACACCAACGTCAGAATGCTGTTTGTAGACTTCAGCTCAGCATTCAACACAATCATCCCCCAGCACCTGGTTAGAAAGCTGAGCCTGCTGGGCCTCAACACCTCCCTCTGCAATTGGATCCTGGACTTCCTGACTGATAGACCCCGGTCAGTCCGGATCGGGAGCAGCACTTCCAACACCACCACACTGAGCACGAGGACCCCCCAGGGCTGCGTGCTCAGTCCAATGCTGTCTACTCTGCTGACTCATGACTGTGCAGCAATGCACAGTTCAAATTACATCATAAAGTTCGCTGATGACACGACCGTGGTGGGTCTCATTAGCAGGAACGACGAGTCAGCCTACAGAGAGGAGGTGCAGCAGCTAACGGACTGGTGCCGAGTCAACAACCTGTCTCTGAATGTGGACAAGACTAAAGAGATGGTTGTGGACTTCAAGAGTGGACAAAAAGAGCATGCTCTGTTGACCATCAATGGCTCCACTGTGGAGATCGTGCAGAGCACCAAATTCCTTGGTGTCCACCTGACGGAGTCCCTCACTTGGTCCCTCAACACCAGCTCCATAGCAAAGAAAGCCCAGCAGCGCCTCTACTTCTTGCGGAGGCTGAGAAAAGTCCACCTCCCAGCCCCCATACTGACAATATTCTACAGAGGGACTCTTGAGAGCATCATGAGTAGCTGCATGGAAGCTGCACCTGGTTTGGAAACTGCACTGTCTCAGACCACAAGATCCTCCAAAGGGTAGTGAGAACAGCAGAAAAAAATCATCAGAGTGTCTCTCCCCTCCATCAAGGACGTCTACACCACACACTGCACCCGAAAAGCCACCAGCATTGTGAAGGACCCCACACACCCTTCACACAAACTTTTTACACTCCTGCCATCCGGCAGGAGGCTCAGAAGCATGTGGGCCCGCACGGCCCAACTGTGCAACAGCTTCATCCCTCAAGCCATAAGACTGTTAAACATTCAAGGACTGAACTAACACACAAACAAAAACACACACACACTACCTCCATGTATTGTATTGTCCATGTTGTGTTGTAATGTTTTCTTTGCCATGTTTAAATTGTACGTTTGCACTACCTTTTTTATTGCACTAGTGTTTCCATATTTGTATTTCTATTTTTACTTTATCCTATATTTATTGTATTCTCGACTCACAAGTTGATCATTAGGAAGAAAAGCTCTTAAATTCATTTTGGGATGTAAAATAAACGCTGCTGTAGAACAGCTGGATGGCTGGCCGGTCACGGACCCCTCCGCTACCGTTGCAAACTCGAACGTTAACGGTACAGACTTACCGAGGACAGTCTCGGTGGCCAGAGCAGAGAAATGTTTCCTTCTATTTTTTGTCTTATTTTTATTTTTTATCTTATCTTGTTGCACTGCATTCTTTGCGCTACCACTTTAGCTCTGGATCTGGGAAACACCATCTCATTTCACTGTGTACTGTACAGCTGCATGTGGTTGAAATGACAATAAAGCCCTTTAAATTGAATTGAATTGAATTGAATTGATGTGTTAAATGCCCATTTTTATGTGAACGCGCACAGAGTCTGAAGCAGAAGGCCTGAGTTGACAAAGTTTATAACCACCTTCGTGATACCTGTAATCTCTGGCTGGGGCTTTCAGTTTTGGCTTACACAAAGAAAGCCTGGCTATGTCAAACTTGCTTAATAATATACCCCTCAGGTGTCTGCATCCCAAACACAAACTGGAGCTGCTTCCACAACAGAGGAGCTGATGACTGAAGGCTCTGAGCCAGAACTCTGGCTGCAGCATTCTGGATCATCTGGAATAGTCCAGCCTAGCAGTAACAAATGCATGGACCAGTTTCTTACCATTCATCTGGCCCTACAGAGCTGTTCTAGGTGTGAATTAAAAGACATATTCTAAGTAATAGAAATGTGTCTGGTGAACAGGATTTGAGCCAGTCCAGTGCATTTCCTTTAATCTCAGCTGAACTGTCAGTCCCATTCATTACCTGATGTCAGCTGTAATGTGCTCAAGACATTTTGCAGTTTTCATGTTGTTTCGGGGGGCTTCACTGCAACCAACAGTATATTAATAAATACATATATATATATATATATATTGTCTGAAAAACTTAATGGGAATTGTGACTGAACAAAACTACCTGGGGGTTTTGTTATTATTATTTACACCCAGTGTGAGCTCCACATGGTGGCCAGTAAACTGACCCCACAACATGTGAGCACATTCTAGCTATTCATGAAGACTCAATATATACTAAAAGCTTGCATTTAAGAATTGTCTTTCCACAAGTGCAAGTATGTAGATATAAATGGACTTCTAAATGGCTTGACTCACAGGGTGTGCAGAGAAAGAAAACAAAGAAGTGCCGTTCCGTATGTCACTTACCGAACGGTTTGGGACAAATACACTTTTACACCCCTAGCACTAGACCATAAATTATTCCTGAGCTCTACTCATAAACTTACTGGCACATTAGTCGCAAACTTACAAGTATGAAGATTTAGAGAGCGAAGGCAGAAAAATGTGGGCAGGGCAGAGCACAGGACTTCGAGACAGTCAGGTCCACATTGTGTGATCTCTAGACAGTTGATCTGTCCCCACGGACAAGCTCCTCCTGGTAGGTCATCACATGGCGTGAAGGTTTGACAGAGAAGTTGTGGGTCCACAATAAAGTTTTCCTTTCCAGATGTGTCCTCCTCCACCGACAGTGAGTCCAACTTTGAGCGTTTGCATGGAATAACCTGGTCACCATGATCATCTGCTGCCCTTGTCTCAAGACTTGGACTGCAACTGGCCCGATCTGTATTGTCTGTAGTGGCTGGGGAAATACAGCTTGCCTCTCTGCTATGCATTAGTTTCTTCAGCTCCATGTTTACATACTGAGATCCCCTTCCATGGAGGAGCCAGGCTAACACGATGGGACACTGCACATGTACAACAAGTTTTGTAGCCACCCCATGGTCAAGCAGGCGATGGAGGACATACAGCCCAGTTTGTGTTGTCCTCTTTGATAGATCAATAAGTTGTGATACACCAACACTCTTAATACGCGTCTCTAAAAGGTTCAGAAGAGGCCACTGCTCAGCAGTTAAACTTTGAAGTGGGGTATGCAAGGTGGTAACAAGCAAAAAGTGTTGAATACATTTAGCTGCAGCCCACAGAAAAGTTGGGCTGTTTAAAGATCTAATGTTTCTTTTGACGTAGGAGTTTGTGAAGCCATAGAATACAAGTGGAAAAAGTATTCTCATAACTTCATGTTTGGCCTCTTCTTCTGAATGCAAGTCTATTGCCTGAAATGTAACACAGGACACACATCACATCTGGGATTGTGATAATTACTATACATGTGAGTTTTTATAATTAAAGAAGACGTTACACCTACATGGTTCGGTCCATACATGTCCTGTAGGACTCCAACCCATTCAGAGTGAGTGGATATCCCTAAACGAAGGCAAACAAAAACATGACATCAAAAGGCCAACCTAATAATGACTTGTCTGATCAAATAAAGATCCAACACAGAAAAATTACCCATCACCATCTTTACACTTTAACCACGGTTCCTACCTTTCTGATTTAGCGCAGGCTGGAGTTCATCCAGTTGGCAGATAGTAAGGTGAGGGAGAAGATCCTTTATGAGAGGCGCTGGAAGATCTAAGTCATACAGAGAGAACAAGAGATTCTGACAGAGGACACCACCTCCCTCTACACTGCTGAGCTGCACAAAATACAAACACCACAACAACAAGACAACGATGCACTGACAAGAACTCTAGCCAGAGAAGCTCTCTGACAGTCTGGGATTAACAGTGGTTTATAAGGGTTTCTTTGTTTTTCAGCAAATCTCTGTAAGCCAAGCAGTCATTCTTGGGTCAATTCACCTGCTTTTGCAGACAGGAACTCCTATACAATATAAAAAGCCTTTTTTATGGAACTCTTACTTGAATAGAACTCGAACGGTTGCTAAAGATGTGCTTTGTAAAATTGTTGATAAAGTCCATAAGATAATTCCAACTGGATTCAGACACAATTATTAGATGTAAAATAAAAGTGTGTCCGTCCAGCCTTTAGGGTCTTGTTGGCTGCAGGTTCTGGTTCTGTTCGCCAGCTGCCGGTCAAGCCTGTATCCGCCCTGCTGCTGTACTCCGGACCGGCTGACACATTTAAGATCTTTATCAGACTCACAAGTTGATCATTAGGAAGAAAAGCTCTTAAATTCATTTTGGGATGTAAAATAAACGCTGATGTAGAACAGCTGGATGGCTGGCCGGTCACGGACCCCTCCGCTACCGTTGCAAACTCGAACGTTAACGGTACAGACTTACCGAGGACAGTCTCGGTGGCCAGAGCAGAGAAATGTTTCCTGACAGCTCGGAAACAGATTTCTCTCAGACTTGTGACCTCCGGGCCCCTGTGCTGGGCTCTGTGGCCGGGCTCGGCCATCGTTCCTGTGTGGGTTAGCTGTCGCTACCTGCTCTTCTTCTGTATTTAAATGTGACGGTTGAAAAACAGGAAACGTTTCTTCTTCTTCTTCTTCTTCTTCTTCTTCACTGGCGGTTGGCCAACAGCGTAAAGGCCCATTACCGCCACCTGCCGGACGGAGGATGGAATGGAACAACGGAAGAAAACACCCTCTGAATCCTCTGATTAGTCCTGTGTCCGTCAGCAGGTGACAGAGTAGAGTGTGTCTGCAGGGCTGGAGGCTGCTCAAAGACCCTGGCAGCAGTACTTATCTCCATGATGGACGACAGTCACAACGTGGTACTGATCGTGAATCCTTTCATTGTTTAACCTTATAATCATGTCAGATGTCTTTATTTGCACAGCAAAACTGTTGTTAACCTGCTAAAGTGATAAACAAACTAAGTTTGAACTCCTCATTAAACCTGCAAACAGTCAGGTTTTATCTGATGAAAGTTGCTGTAAAACCAACATTCAGCTCGTTTGCTGATTTGTTTCACTGAGTCATGGTGAGATTTTATCATCTCAGTTCAGCGAGGATGATAATTAACTATAGACAGCATAATAAAACTTCATCAGATGATAGAAGCATGTTGAAATGATCTCTGTCTGTCTACAATAAGAATCAACAGCCTTCAGTGTGAATGTTCAGTACTCACTGTTTTACAGTTTTAATGATGTTAATAAAGCTGTAGGTATGTGAACTGGTCCCAGTTTAAATCAGAGGTGTATTAATGCTGGGTTTCTCTTAGAGCTGCTGGTTCTGTCATAGTTTACAGAGAACCTTTATGGAGCTCAGTCATCAGTTACTCCTCCTGTGACGACTCCAAGTGTCATTGTAGAATGGTTTAACAGTGAAACTACATTTCCCTCCACAGTTTTCACAGTTAGTCTGTTCATTGTGACATGATTTGTAATGTTGACACATTTAGTGTATCCTTAGTCCAGTTCTAGGATTGGCTCAAACTTAGGTTTATCTATGTTTGCACAGTAATCTAATAAAGGTCCATTCTGACCAACTGTCCTCTGTTTGAATGTGCGCATAAGAACTCCGCGAGAGAGACCCTTCCCCATATTGACCACCATATGCTGCCAACACTACCACTGCCCATTCTGTTGCTCAGCTTTGTAAAACTGTGAAAAACAAAATATATTTTGCCAGAGCAAAAAAGTGAACTATGCACAGTTTATCAGATATATCAACACTATATCTACTTGAGCATTTTAATATCTGTCCCTCTGTGTCTCTGTCAGAAGGAAGTGAGATTAGAGATTCAGTGATGGGAATCACAAGACAAATTTACTTATCTTGTGTGTGTGTGTGTGTGTGTATAGTCTGTATTAAATAAATATATATATCTGCCTCCCGGGTTGTTCTTGTGCTTTGCGTCTTTCCAACCTTTCAAGCCAACCTGGCTGAGATCCAGAGGTCACAGCACATGATTCTAATATCATTTTCCCTGATAATGACACAAGTATACACAATTTGTCCAAATGCAAGTCTTAGCAACCAAGTTATCATTATTATTGTAATAAGTAGTATTTAGGGTGTAACAAACCTTGAATATTAGAGGTATTCCTTTACAATTTATATATATATAAAGTATATTTAAGTGAAATCTTCCTTTAAAACCAAAAGTTGTGCACTTTAGTGATCATCTATTGCGGCAGATGGCACTGTCTAGAAAAAGAATGCTTCAAACGTGTAGCCCAAGAAGTGAGGTCCTACCAGTGCAGGTCCTGGGAGCGCAGCCTCCGGCTCTGCAGACAGGTACTGTTGAGGACGGACGGTATTCCCTGAAATGAGCCTCCAAGCAGACTGCCTATAGTGATACTGAAGTCAGCTTTCTGTGGTGCTGATGTCAGGTGTTTCCTCTCCAGTTCACAGCCTGAACACACAAAGGATGGTTAGTGTCCACATCCACCAGTCTGATGTTTTCAGTTTCATGAAGGGTCTGATTCAACCCAGTATAATCTATCCTGAGACGAGGGATGAGCCCCTCATCTTTTCAGTTTCTGTACTGCCTCCTTCTCAAATCCAAGTTTCTGAATATTATATAGATATCTTCATCTGTTGTTTGTGACTCAGTGTTCTTGTCGTATTTTTTGCATTTGTCTTTTAATAATTGATTTTCACTCATCTTTGGTCTGTAGAAGAGCAAACAGGACTTTAAAAAAATGTAAATGATATAGTTGTTAGTTCCATTACAAAGAATGGAAAACACAGGCACTGGGACTTGGAGAACACATTGAAATACTCCACTTAGCACTATGAAGTACTTGAATGAAAGAGTATTTATGTGCCTTGCACGAGTAAACCATGCTATGCAGCCTTGCAGATGGAGTGTACAGACGTCTCCCATATCTTTCATGAGGATTGTCCACTCATTTTCTATACACTGCTTTATCCTCCGTGGGGTTGCGGTGGTGATGAAGCCTGTCCCAGCCAGGAGAGATTTGAAACCCTGACCTCCGAGCTGTGAGCTGACACGACTAGCCACTGCTCACTGTGCCGCCCAATATATTGACTGTGCAGGAAAAAAGAAACTCCCACAAAGTCACAATGGGCACTTACTGTGGCAAAAACAACACTGCCTCACACAACACAATGAGCTGCAACTGCACCGCAGTTCTACGTATACGTTAAATGACTCATCACAGCTTGTAAAACCAGATGTAAGATGGTGGTTATTTTTGTGAAGAAGTCACTGCAAGACAAACAGGTTATCATTCTCCTTTATTTTCTGTTTTCGTAAAAAAAACAACAGAAAAACGCAGCAACAAATAAATATCAGTATATATAGTACATATAGCATAATAGAAAGCTTGTTGTGTTCCTCCTGCTATACTACCCGCTGGTCCTCATGAGAGCGCTGGTGGAAGACAAAAGAGATGGCGGCGTCCCAGGAGGCTTTCAACACCGGGTCCCTCAAGCCCTTCTTGTCAAAGCAGTGGTTCCATTGGGAAAAGTCACTGGTACAGTCAGAATCATCTGCAGGAGGCCGGACCTCTCTGCCATTCACACACCGACGACAGCGAAACCTAACACCACCACAAGAGGGAGGAAGAGAAGCTGATTCAATACATGACATACCGTACAATCAGAAAACCTCTTCAGTAACTGTCTGTAGCTTTCAACAGTAACCTCCTGCTATGACATATAAAAAATGAGGCTTCGAACTTTGTGGAACAGCCCTATTATTAGCAAGAAAGTCAGTTATCTGTCAGGAATGTGTGATGACAACAAGTGCACTTAATGCCTAACACTGGCTGCACGAGAGGTGTAGAGTAGGAAGATGTAAAGACAGCAGGTTGTAGGTCAGCCTCACTTCACGATCCCTACAATCAAACATGAAGAGAAGAGGAATACTGACTTGGTACCTAAAGTGTGGTTATTTATGTGTGTGTTGTGTGAGTATACAGAAACATCTGTTTGGGAATTAAATCTGGTTGAGTCAGCCATATTACATACAAAGTGAGGCTGCTAAAGAAGTGGCAGTTCAGTCTAAAAATTTTACACCACACCACTAAAAAACACAAACAATACTCTATGTTACACAAGGATTTGTAAAATGTTATTATACATTCTAATCATTTACTTATGAGTGATGAATTTTATCATTCCTTCTACTTACACTGGAGCCACGACTTTGTACAGTCAGTAAATATGAACAATACATGTGCCAAAGTAGCACAGTGTTAAAACTGCACTTTTCCTTTGTCATTTTTCCCAGATCTAACAATGGTGTGTCACACAGAAAGGCATTTCTACATCGTATTTTTATGACTAACTGCAGTAGTGGAACAGTGCACAACACTCCACCATGATTGACATTGATAAAACACACTGATGCATATGCACACATTTATAAATCTGACAGAAAGACAGTATGTATATGTTTCTGTCCTAGTGTATACACGCAGTTTTAGCTGGGATCATTATACATCTGGCACCTGAAGTGTTTACAACCTAAACATTCAAAATCGATTGTGGTAGTTGAAAAGCCATGTTTAAATGTGTGTATGTGTAGATTCTCAGTCATCCAGGTCATGACAATCCTAGCAGCTTCCGTAGAAAAAAAATGCACTTCTCTTTGAGGTTCTTGAAAATGTTTCATATTCATTCATGAGGCTTCTTTAGTTCTAACTGACTGATGGGAAGTTTCAGAATTTATAGTCCCTCAAGCTGACATGGGCAATGGCCCAATAACAACCAGGATTTACATGCGTCAAGGTGGAAATTGTTGTGAATCCAACAACAGCAGTAATCATGGTGGTGCCAGTTTACACAACAAACGATGTGAATCTGCCAGGTCAGGACTCAAGATATTAATGATGGTGAAATTTGCTGTCCTCAAAGGAATGTCCCTGATCCTTCAGATGCAGGTGAACTACTGAGTCCTGTCCTGATGAGCTGCTCTCCTGTAGTATATTCTCTCCTGTATAAAGGTCTGCTCTCTCCTGGAGTTTATTCTCTCCCATTTGTCTGTTCTTTGCTGTTATTTCTTTTGCAAGTTTTTGGGGTCCGTGTCTAGCGAGCCGTTGAGCCATGGCTCTATTGTTTTACACCCGTGAATAGCTGTTGGCGCTGAGCCAGGCCAAGCCACCGTCGTGGCAGAGACCGGACGTCCCTGAGGAGGGAAGCTTCCGGAGAAGAGGAGACGCTACAAACCATCCGTCCGTCCATCATCACCTCAAACGTGAGGTCTCTCCCTTACGGATGGAAGAGCTAACAGCGTTGACCTGGCTACAGTGGGTGTATCCGGAGTGCAGCCTTATGTTGTTTACGGAGTCATGGCTAAACAAACTCACTCCGGACTCGCTTGTAACTTTTGGACGGATTTCACCTGGTCAGAGCTGACCGGAGCTTGAGGGAGAGTGGCAAGAAAAAAGGCAGGGAACTTGCCATGTATGTGAATGAGAGATGGTGTAATGCTGGCACATTAGTGCTGCACGAAGGATGCTGAACTGCTGGTGGTTGGTTTGCGGCCGTTTTACCTGCCGGGGGAGTTTCGCATGTCCTGGTGGTTGCAGTTTACATCCCCCCCTCAGCTGATGCTGCTGCAGCCTGTGAGCTCATCCATACTTCAGTGTCCCAGCTGCAAACACTACACCCTCAGTCTCTGATCGTCATCTCAGGAGACTTTAATCATACACCACTCTCTACCACTCTCCCTACATTCTGTCAGTATGTGGACTTGAACCTGCTGTGTGCGGACACCGGGATGCATATTACTTAATTACTGTTGTTTTCTTGTGCTTTCTTTATATATTTTTGGATGCTGCTGTGGCGTGTAAATTTCCCAGGTCTGGGATAAATAAAGTATATTCTAGTCTATTTTATAAAGGTCTAGTCTATTCTATAAAGGTCTGTTCTCTCCTGTATAAAGGTCTGTTCTCTCCTGTACAAAGGTCTGTTCTCTCCTGTACAAAGGTCTGTTCTCTCCTGTAGTTTATTCTCTCCTATATAAAGGTCTGTTATGTCCTGTGTTGAGCCATACATTTGTAAATTTGGTGTTTATGCTCTCCTATGTACAAGCCTGTGCACTCGTCGCTGCATTGGACTGCATATACAACGTTGCTCTATTGTGTGTTCCTGTTTTGTCCTTGGGGTGAACCAGTTTTTGTCTCAGTGTTACTGGGTCTGAAGTGCACCGGTATGTTATATTCAGAGAAAATTCTTCTGAGTTTTTCAGATGCTTCAGCTATGTATGGGATGACAGTGTTGTTCCTCTTGTTCTTCATTTCTTTGCCGTTTGTTGTGGTGCTGTTTTCTAGATCTTTTTATTGAATTGGTGAAGGCCCAGTTGGAATAGCAACAGGTCCTCAGTGCTTTCTTAATGTTTTAATGTAACTCCAATTCCATACGGTTCTAAAATCTTACAAAACAAGGTGCATCAGAGGTATTCATACAAAAGAGAATACAGTTTATTCTCCTAATATTACAATGTGTGTTAGTGTTGCTAGTTTTTTTAAATTTTTACTCAGGAAGTTTTTATTAAAACTGACAAACTGCGTTATACTGCACAAAATACATTTTTGAGTTATCTCTACTTCTATGTGACAGGAGCAAAAAACAACTAGAAATGGCTCAAGGTTCAGAGGGTTAAGACCAGAAGAATAGATAAGTACACACAATAAAGTGTCTGTTGATGTTATTTTTCCACATGCATTGGCTTTACTTGGCACTATTTGTAAGGGAACAAAACGTTTTTCAAATCTTTCAGTTGTGGCATTTGTGGAAAGAAATCTGTCCTTTTGAGGACATTGAGATCTCTGCATTAATCTTCTTTTACCATCTACTATATCAAGTTGTTTAAATTCTCTGCAGAATCAGCAGTGTGAGCAGCATAAACAACTTGTGAGAGTACTGTGTTTTTTACTTGTCATGTGTGTCGCTGGTCGTCTCTTCGTCAAGAGTGAAGAGTTCTCGGAGTTCACCCAGAGAGAAGTGACGTTCCACATCCTGCTCCTCATCCACCACACAGCTGCTCAGAGCTTTCTTATGGGCCTGCCTTTGCAGTATCTTCTCCTCAATCGTCCCAGTCTGTCAGAAAACAAACAAAAAAGTCAAACATGGAACCTCTGCACACCAGCTGTCTGCAGATTCCAGCAGCACCTGTTGCTTTGACAGATTGAACTTGAGGTCTTGAGCTTAGTGAATAATTGCATCAGTACAGACTATTTCTAGTACTGCCAAAGCTCAAAGGAGACACTGAGTAGTAGTGACAATCTGTGTTATGTAAGCATTGTACAGATGAAACCAGAAGTTTACATCCACTGTATAAAAAGACACTTTCCTGTTTTAGGTCAGTTAGGATTACCAAAATGATTTCTATTAGCTAAACACCAGAATAATGAACAATGTGAGAGAATTTTTTTTATTACTTTCTTTAACATCAGAGGTTTACATACATTTCCTTAGTATTTGTAGCATTGCCTTTAAACTATATGACTTGGGTCAAACGTTTTGAGTTTCCGCCCACAAGCTTCTCACAATAGTTTGGTGAATTCTGGTCCATTCCTCCTGAAAGAACTGGTGGAGTCAAGTTTGTTAGCTGCCTTGCTCGTACATGCCTCTCCAGCTCTGCCCACAACTGTTCTATGGGATTGAGATCAGGGCTTTGTGATGGCCACTCCAAAACATGGACTTTGTTGTCCTGAAGCTTCTTTGTAACCAACCTGGCAGTATGCTTAGGGTCATAGTCCATTTGAAGACCCATTAGATTAGATTAGATTAGATAGAACTTTATTGATCCCTTTGGTAGGGTACCTCAGGGAAATTGTTGTACTAGCAACAACACAACACCAACACAACATTAGTAGTAATAATAACAACAACAACAACAACAACAACAACAACAACAACAACAACAACAATAATGGATACAGTAACAGTGCCAAAGTGCCAAAATATTGCACACAGTCTGGTGACAGAGCATGATGCTCTATCTCACCCCAATGTCCTCACTCCTCACCTCTCCCTGCTTGCTGCTCCTCCCCCTCCCCCCCAAGCTCAGAGTTGAACAGTTTGATGGCTCGGGGGACAAAGGAGTTTTTGGTCTTGTTAGTTTTGCACCTGGGGAGGAGCAGCCTGTCACTGAACTGGCTCCTCTGGGCGATGATGACAGTGTGCAGAGGGTGGCTGGCATCGTCCATGATGGCCAGCAGTTTGTTCAGTGTCCTCCTCTCCGCCACTGTCACCAGGGAGTCCAGTTTCATGCCCACTGCAGAGCTGGCCCGCCTGATTAATTTGTCCAGCCTTGATGCGTTCCTATTTGATGTGCTGTTGCCCCAGCACACCACGGCGTAGAAAAGGATGCTGGCGACCACCGACTGGTAAAACATCCGCAGGAGTTTCCTGCAGATGATGAATGACCGGAGCCCCCTCAGAAAGTACAGCCTGCTCTGTCTCCTCTGGTACAGTTAGTCTGTGTTGCATGTCCAGTCCAACTTGTTGTCCAGACACAGCCCGAGGTACTTGTAGTTTTCTACAAGTTCAACCTCATGTGCCTCAATCAGAACTGGTCGTGGGCATGGTCCAGATTTCCTGAAGTCTATGACCAGTTCCTTTGTCTTTGAGGCGTTGAGCTGCAGGTGGTTTTCTCTGCACCAGACAACAAAGTCGGCCACCAGACTCCTGTACTCACTCTCTCTGTCATCCTTGATACACCCCATGATGGCTGTGGCATCTGCATACTTCTGTATGTGGCACAGCTCCGAGATGTAACGGAAGTCCAAGGTGTACAAGGTGAAGAGGAGAGAGGCCAGCACGGTCCCCTGAGGGGCCCCTGTGCTGCTGATCACAGTGTCAGATGTGGTGTCCTTCAGTCTGATACTGTGGTCTGTCAGTGAGGTAGTTGGAGATCCAATCCACCAGGCCACTCCCATCCTTTCTAACTTTCCCCGCAGTAGCAGGGGCTGGATGGTATTAAAGGCACTTGAGAAGTCCATAAAAAGAATTCTCACAATGCCGCTTCCCTTGTCCAGGTGTGAGTGGGCTTGATGGAGGAGGTACAGCACAGCATCCTCCGTACCAACGTTTGCCCGGTAGGCAAATTGTAGAGGGTCCTGGGCGTGTTGAACCTGGGGCTTGAGGAGGTGGAGGAGCCGCTCCAGCATCGTCATCAGGTGTGAAGTGAGTGCCACCGGTCGGCAGTCATTCAGCTCGCTGGGCCGGGTCTTTTTCGGCACCGGAATGATGCAGGATGTCTTCCATAGAGTGGGCACTGTCCCCAGCTGCAGGCTGAGATTAAAGATGTGCTGTAGCGGCTCCCCCAGTTGAGCAGCACAGGACTTGAGCATCCGTGGACACACCTTGTCCGGTCCTGCTGCCTTCCGGTGTCGGATCTTTCTCAGTTGTCCCCCGACCTGGTCGGCTGTTATGCAGGGAGGGGGGAGGGGCTGAGTTGATGTTGAGAGGGAGGCACTGAGGGAGGGGGGACTGCAGTGAGGGTGAGGGTGGGGGGGTCATGGGCTGGTCAAACCGGTTGAAGAAGGCATTCAGATTGTTTGCCTCCTCCACCGTCCCCTCTGCTGTTCTGGCTTTTGTTCTGAAGCCTGTGATGGTATTCACACTCTGCCAGATCTCCCTCATGTTGTTGTCCCTCAGTTGCTGTTCCACCTTCCTCCTGTAGGTGTCTTTGGCCTCCATCAGGCACAGCTTCACCTCTCTTTGTGCTGATCTGATGGCCTCTCTGTCTTTGTTCCTGAAGGCCACCTTCTTCCTGTTGAGTGCAGCTTTGATCTCCTGTGTCATCCAGGGTTTGTTGTTCGGGTAACAACGAACAGTCTTAGCAGGAGAGACTACATCCACACAGAAGTTCAGGTAGTCAGTCAGGCAGTGGGTCAGCCCCTCAATGTCCTCACCATGGGGGGAAAACAGAAAATCCCAAGAGGTGGTTTCCATACAGTCCCTTAGGGCCTCCTCCACCTCAGGAGACCACCTCCTGATGGTGCATGTTGTGGCCGGCTGTCTTTTGACCAGAGGGGTGTACTGAGGCTGTAGGAGGACTAGGACTATTGTGGTCTGACTTCTCAAGTGGGGGGAGGGGAGTGGCTCTGTATGCGTCCCGTACATTAGCATACAGGAGGTTGATTGTCTGTTTTTTTCTGGTGGGGCAGTTCACAAACTGGTGGAAAGCAGGCAAGGCAGAGTTCAGTGTCGCGTGATTAAAGTCCGCAGAGATGATGATGAGTGCCTCTGGATCTTGGGTCTGCAGCCTTGCTGTGACTGCGTGAATCTTCTCACAGGCAGCGGCTGCATTGGCACTCGGGGCGATGTAAACACACATCGCGATCACGTGACTGAACTCTCGTGGCAAGTAATATGGCCACAGGCTAACTGCTAACAGTTCTAAATCCCGACAACACAGAACCACCTTGACAAAAATGTGACTTGGGTTACACCAGCGGTTGTTAACGTACATGATGAGAACCCCACCTCTGCTTTTTCCACATGCTTTCGTATCTCTGTCCACTCTCACTGTAGCAAAGCCTGGCAGGTCCACATTAGCGTCCGGTGTTAGCTGGGTTTTCCACGATTCCAAGAGAATGAACGAGCTACACTCCTGGTAGATACGCTCGTTGATCAGCACCGACAGCTCGTCCACCTTGTTCTGCAATGCGTTTACGCTTCCCATAATTACCGTCGGGATTGATGGTTTGAAACGCCTCCGGTCTGTTAGCCTAGCCTTCAGCCTAGCGCCACCCTTGCTACCCCGGTAACGCCTCCTCAGCTCAGGTGGGACATGATGTTGTATTCCAGCCTGTGCCATTGGCTTTAGAGCCAGTAGTTCCTCTCGAGAAAAAGTTAGGTTCCTGGCTCCTGTGGGTGATTTAAAGTTCTAGGTATCCATAGAATATGTAAAGACAAAAAGAAAAGTAGAAAAATATCTAAAAATAACTAAGAAAAACAAGGGGAAAAAAGGCTCGGTGTTGCGGAGCAACTAGAGAGGCAGCCGTCTCCTACGTCTCCTAATTTTTCCATTTGTGCCCAAGCTTCAACTTCCTGGCTGATGTCTTGAGATGTTGCTTCAATATTTCCACATAATGTTCTTTCCTAATGATGCCATCTATTTTGTTTAGTGCACCAGTCCCTCCTGCAGCAAACCACCCCCACAACATGATGCTGCCACCCCCATACCTCACAGATGGGATGGTGTTCTCAGGCTTGCAAGCTTCCACCTTTTTCCTCCAAATGTAATGATGGTTATTATGGCCAAACAGTTCAGTTTTAGTTTCATCAGACCACAGGACATGTGTCCAGAAATGAAGGTCTGTCCCTGTGTGCTTTTACAAACTGTAATCTGTCTTTTTTATGTTTCTTTTGGAATAACGTCTTCTTCCTCTCTGAGTAGCCTTTCAGCCCATGTGGTTACAGGACTGGTTTCACTGTGGATAATGACACTCTCTTACCAGCGTCAGGAGCATCTTCACAAGGTCTTTAGCCTTTGTTCTGGGGTTGATAAGCACATTTCTCACCAAAATACTTCATCTCTGGGACACAGAACTCGTCTCCTTACTGAGCGGTATGATGGCTGGACATTCCCATGGTGTTTACACTTGAGTATAATTGTTTGAATAGATGAACGTGGAACCTTCAGGAATCTGTACATTGTACCCAAGGATGAACCAGACTTGTGGAGGTACACAATTCTCTTCCTGATATCTTGGCTGATTTCTTTAGATTTTCCATGTTGTCACAAAAGGAAAGAGTGTGTTTGAGGTGTGCCTTAAAATACATCCACAGGTGTCTGTTAGAATAATTCTATGTTATGATCCAATGATCCTTGTGAGAAAAGTATGAGAATGCTGTAAATGTTCATTGCCTGTATTTCACCTTGTTAGTGTGAGATAAGACGTCCTTAGCGGGTAGTCAAAATACCGTGCCTACATGCACACACTTGTGAAAGGTTGTTGTCTGTTTTCTGTATATAAGAACCAATGCTTCATGCTTTTAGTTAGTCACTTGTTCAGACTCTGTGCTGTACACGTTGCTTCTTGTTGCAAGAAAAACTTTGCTTTGACTTAAGAGACGACTCTGTG